GCAGGGCCAGGAGTTGGACTCGATGACCCTTGTGGGTCCCTTCCAACTCAGGATATTCCATGATTCTAAGCATTCCTTCACCAAACAGAAGCACCACACAGTAAATAACAGAGCAAGGGTTCTGCACCCACTGAACCACACTGCCTGCTCACGCTCTCCCCGTCAATTTGGAGTCCTCCCTCCCCCTCAGGGCAGCACTGCCCCAAAGGGAGGCCAGGCAAGGCCCCTCAGGCTGTGGCAGGATACTGTCAGGTCGTAGCGCAGGGACAGCAGCTCCCCTCCTTGGTCCTTCAGATCATAGATGAGCTTCGAGTCTTCCCCATATTTCCCCGTCAGCGTCTCCTACAACACAACAACAAACAAACAGCACCTTCAGTGCCAGGGGAACAGCTCCAGAGCAGGAGAGAAAGTGAGGGTACCTAGGAGCTGGAAGAAGGAAACTCAACCCTCAACACTTCCAGCTGGAGGATCCTCACCAGCTCAGCCAACCTGCTGTGCCTTCACTCACCTTCAGCTCGAACACGGGTGTGTCGATGACTTCTGCCCCGTGGCGCTTGAAGCAGGAGATGATGGCACTGAAGACCCTCTCCCGGATGGCCATTTGCTTGGGGCCATAGTCCCGTGTGCCCTGGGGTGAGGGAAGGAAAGAGGGAGCAAAGGACACTGTGGGTGAGAGGCATGGAGTGAGAGAGATGCCAGAAACAACAGGAAGAAGCTGCTAACGGAGACAGAGAGACCAGGTCCAGATGCCAGGTACTGGTAAAAGGTAGCACCAAAAAACATTGGAAAACATCAGGACAGAGCTCAGAGTCTGCCATGACCTGCAGAGGGAAATCTAAGTCAGGAGTTTCACAATACAGGAAACAAAGGAGCTAAAACAGATCCAACAATCAGAGTTCAGAGCTTCTGAGCCTGACAGCGCAGCCAGGACCTGCCCCCAGCTCTGACTCACACCTATAAGCCAGACCCCTGCCCAACGAGCCACCCCAAGATGTACAATCAGAGGACAGGCATGCTCTGAGGGTGTGGAACAATCAGCAGCTCTAAAATTTCCAAACACAGAGAAAAATCATCTTTTAAAATGCAACACCTGTGAAATGCTTGTATATGGTTCACCACAATGTGCTCACTTCCCATTTCTTTGCTTTTAAGGGTCACTGAATTGTTTCAGTGACCACCTTTAGGCTCTCAACAACAAATAAATCATTGTTAACTAACTAGACCTTCCACTTTCACTCTCTAGGACCTCCAGGCAGGAGGAAGCAGAGACCAGGCACTTCTAACCCCCCACTCACAGGTTGCTCAGTGATGGGCAGCTTTCAGCTGCCACTGATGGGGCTGAGACAGGCTGGAAACTCAACTGTGTTTCCCTGGCACTCACAGAGCTGCAAAATCCCCTTCTCCACAACTTTAAACAGTGAAATACCCTTCAAATTTTCAGGGCTCACACCACAAATACATTTACCAAAGAACACAATAAAGGAAATGGAAAAGGGAGACAGTTTTGAGACATTGAGGTACCAGGAAGAAATGCTCTCCTGTGAGGGTGGTGAGGCCCTGGCACAGGTTGCCCAGAGAAGCTGTGGCTGCCCCATCCCTGGAAGTGTCCAAGGCCAGGCTGGACTGGGCTTGGAGCAACCTGGTCTGGTGGAAGGTGCCCCTGCCCATGGTAGGGGATTGGAACTAGATGAGTTTTAAGGCCCCTTCCAACCCAAACCATTCCATATTTCTATGATCTCCTATGTCAGTGGCATCACCATAACCTGAGTGATGGTGTTGTTTGTGAGCAGCATTCATAACTTGTCATATAAGCACCAGAAAGTCTCTAAGCCAGTGGGTATCTGGGCTGGGTGCTGTCAAAGATGTTTCCACCCCTCTCCCCTCTGCTGCTAAAAGCAAAAAGGAAACAGAAATGAGAACAAAGGCAGGTGTGTCTGTGCTGGGGTTTTGCCCAAAGGTGTGGGGGGGGTTCTGAGGAAGGATGTGCACACAGAGAGGCACAGGAGTGTGCTGGGAACAGTTACCTTCGGGGTCTTGAGCACAAACTTGGGTTTCCCCTCATCTCCCCCCAGCTGGGCCTTCATCTCCAGCAGCTTTGCCACCTCCTTTGCAATCTGGGGAGGGAACAAG